GATCGAACAACTCCATGAAGCATCATAAACCCCAAACTATACTCTCTCTCTCTCTCTGTCTCTCTCTCTCTCTTTGAATATACAAAGCATTTTCATTTGCTCCCTCTAAAAAAATCAGAGAAGCTCAAGGCCCATCCATGGCAGCCTTAGGCGGTGTCTTTGTAAAGCCAAATCCCTTTCTCTCTCTACAAAAGGGAGGTCGTTTCTCTCATACCACATCCATGGGAAACCCCTTCACTTCATGAATGAGGAGAAGCTTGGGTTGCAAAAAACCAAAAAAGCTCAAACCTCATCCATGGCACCCCTAGGCAGTGTCTTTGTAAATCTAAGGCAAGTCTTTTCTCTCATATCCACCCGGAAAGCCCCTTCTAATAAGGAGAAACTCGGGTTGCAAAAAACCAGAGAAGCTCAAGCCTCATCCATGGAAACCCTAGGGGGCATTTTCGTAAGACCAAAGCCCCTTCTCTCTCTACAAAAGGCGAGCCTTTTCTCTCATACCATACCCATGAGAAAACCCTTCTCTTCATGAATAAGGAGAAGCTCGGATTACAGGTTTGCTTATTGTATGGAAGCAAATTTTTTATTTCTATGTGAGACACAAGAAAACGTTTTGGATTGGCAAGAGAATTTTGGAAGGATAGAATACGACGACTTTGCTTTTTCAGTATGTTAACTTCATCAACAACCCAACGTAATAATAATAAAAAATGGCAATGTTTATTAATTAAGGATGAAAAAGCTTATCATTTTTTTCAATGTGAAGGTTTTTTTATTTGACATCCAAACTGGCAAACATATTTTTTTTAAAAGAAATATATATTTTTCAGATATACACTCTAGCTTCTTATTTTCATGTGCTTCAAAACTCAATATTTTTTGAAAACTTCATTAATCTTCCTTAAACTCAATATTTTTTGAAAACTTCATTAATCTTCCTTAATTTTGAATATTTGAATACCAGTTTTGAGATAAGCTTATTAAATGTAGGATTAGAACAAGAATCTTGATCACAACAATAACTTCACCAACATATTCCAGTAAAAAAATGTTCCTTAGAGAAAAAAAGAGAGTGTAACCAAAACATTCCAAGATAACATATTGTTTTTTCATATTCTCCAAAAAATTAGTGAGAGTGAAGGAAAAGCCACACAATTAGGAACTTCATCTCATCTAAACCAGGAGCAGCATTATGGAGAAAATGGAGAGAATGATTTAATCACAGCTGAAGGTCCTAAGTGTTTAAGAATTCTACGATCAAGCCTTGTGTTACTTTCCCTTTGTATTGCCATGGTTGAATAAGCTTTGGTATGTTGGTTTCTTGTGTCTTTTATGGGTTGTTTGGCAACTAAAAATTTGGTTGCAAGCTATGACATTTCCCAATTTGACATCTGGAAATGCTACAGTGAACGTAAGTCCATATTTATCAAAACTACCACATTTCTCAATTTGGCAAAGTGAGAATTGTAAACTTCCACCACCACCTATAAATGAGTGGATTGCCTACAAAAATGGGAAATGCAAATTTCCTTTTTTGTCATTCTAAAAATACGGACAAAACTTCAAGTACTTTTATTTATTTTTAAAACCGGATCGAGATAATAATTTATAGGTATGTGCGTCTAATTGGGTATTTTCTACAAAAAAATAAAAAAATAAAAAAATAATTTGTATAAAATAAAATGATCAAACTATCCCTCAAAGTTTTAGGAGCACATCCGTCATTTCGTTTTTTGCATAGTAACTTTTTAATATTTTGTATAAGTGCAAGTTATTTATATGTGTAGATGCCTAAAGTTTTAGATCCAGTCCTATAGAAAAAAAATAAGAAGTTGGAATGCTTAGGCTTGCTCTGGACCATCCAATCAAGTTTAAAAATACCTAGGTGATCTATAATATAGACTTTATAGGTGTTTTGGTGGATCTTTATTTTTTAAAAAAATATTTATATTTTTATAACTGCTTGAGGGGGAGAAGCAGACACCCAAAATTTTAGCTTAATCAACTCTATTGAAACAAAATAAAGTTGAAATACTCAAATATGCTCTCAACCATTCGTGAGGGTATTTCAATCGTTATATTTTTTCCAAAATATTTTTTTTATATTTTTTATAGGTTTTTGAGGGAGAGAAGTGCAGAACCCAACATTTTAGCTCAGTGTGATGTACATAATGATATACTTAGGCATGCTATGACCTTATCCATTTTTTTCCTTTTATATACATGCCTATTTCATTAGACCTAACAAGAATCAGGATCTAATTCATTCAACTAATATTTCCATCTCATTGACAAAAACTTCAATGCACAGTTGAAATCAACTAAATTTTAGATCTCCTCCTCATCACTGTCATAGCATTTTTCAAACTATGGGGTCGGCTATTTTGCTCAACTTTTAGATTTGTTAGTTTTCAAAATTTTAGCTTAAATTAAATAGAGTTTTCCAAAATCCCTATAATTCCAAATTATTTAACCAGATACAGTAGTTTCTATTCCCACGTACTCAATTATTTGCCTCCAGGTTTCAGAATTGAAAGTCTCCAATTCTGATTCTAGGTTTTTATTGCAAAATGACCCTTTATTGATGCACACAACACGATAGTTACATTTTTTGTCTTTTGAATCTTATTAATAATAGTCCCATATTGAAGTCAGTTTTCTTTAAAAAAATTATCATACTTAAGGTTATTGCTTTGTCGATCATTAATGCAATTCATGTGTTTAGCATTGTTACGGTTGTTATATTGTACGATCTAAAAAACTCATTTACAGTTCATGACATGACAGTTGAGGAAGCATTCCATGTTGTCATGCTTAATGAAAACATATAAATTTTGTCAAATAGAGCTCTAGGTGCTACCAAGTCATGGCATAAAGTTAATGTTCAATAATTTATTATATCCTCACAGTAAAATAATTATATAGTCCTCATACGTATTAAAACTTTTTTCACTTTGTTTTTTAGCCAAATCTAAAATATTAATATTTTTTAGCCGATAAAGTTGGGGTCTTTTATCGAGGGGGTTGTAGTTTCGGCTTTGGATGTAAATTTATTATGTGATGCATTTCTCATGTACTACACAATATGATTAGTTCCTTTCTAAGGTTGTTTTGTTTCTTTATAGAACTTACAGGAAAGTAGCATGCAGAGATTTCAGCAAACCAGGTCAATTCTGGATCAGTATTGAGTGAAGCTAGAATATAAAAGACCACTCCTGAAGCTAGAATATAAAAGACTACTACGAGCATAACACGTTAATTATTGAAAGCACAAATATGGTTCGTCCCTCCAACAACGATGGTGTGGCCTCTACATCATCCGCATACATTTCAGATTCGCAGGCCTGCGGGGCAGCCATCACAAGAATTGCAGGCTAACCATTCTTTATCATCTATCCTATGAATTTTTCCCTTCTCAACAATCTCTTATTCCCTATCAAGTGATTGATTGTATTGCAAGCTGTTTCTGGCCGGTTCAACGAAAGATCGCGGAGGGCAAACAATTAAGAAATCGTGAGTAGGTTCGAAACAACATGCTTTATTGAAATGTTTAACTTGGCAGTGCATGTATTTGTTTCACTGTGTCAGAGGTTCAAACCTACGGGTATACATCTTTGAGGTACAAGCCTCATGGGAATACAACTTGAACATTTCTAAAACATTGAATTATCAGAAGATATGTATAATGGGTGCAAAAAAGAAAAAGAAAAATAAAGAACTAAACAATTGTTACTGAACGGTTGCGAACATGTCGGATGTTTATGGCAACATAATCAACTGGTGTAAATGCTTGTCAAGACCTCCGTGGCGGCTTCATTATTTACGATAAAAAATCAAGGATCTAACTTCGGGCCGCAAATGTTCTTTCAACCATATCTATAGAGACGCATACTTCATCGCAGATGATTTGGCTATAAAAGGAGTCTCGTTAGATTCATAGGTTGTATCGCCTGATTTATTTTAACTCTATTCATTGTAATCTCTCTAGTTTATTAAATAAAATTCGTTACTCTTGTTGAAAAAAACAGGTGTCAGATGTTTGAAATTGGGCAACCCAAAAAAGTACAGATCTTTATTTGTCTTTAAATGCAAGTATTCAAATATATACCGCAATGACCAAAGTTTTCTTAGTTAAATTCTACCGGATTTAGAATATCTATATCGGAATATCTACCCCATCGATTCGATCTCCAAAATACTATAAAAACATAATATCATTAAGGCTGTGACCTCGGGTTTACGTTACTTATATTGTCAACTTTGCTTCCAACATGCTGACAAGCTACACGTGTGAACCAAGCCTCCCATGGCTATGTTACATGCAGTAATTTCGCACATGCCAACAACACACCTCTTTATCTCATGTACATATATAAATTCTCGTGACAAGAGATGGTGCTCTAACCCTTTTGAAAGGAAACGCACCATATCTATAGAGAAGCAAATGTTCTTTCAACTATATCTATAGAGTAGCAGACTTTTCACAGATGATTTGGCTATAAAAGGAGTATCTTTAGATTCATTGGTTGTATCGTCTAATTTATTTTAACTTCATTCATTATAATCTTCTGGTTTATTAAATAAAATTTGTTAATTTTACAAACAAAACAGACGTCAGATGTTTGAAACTGGGCAACCCAAAAAGGCATACATCTTTATTCGTCTTTAAATGCAAGTATTAAAATATATACCGCAACGACCAAATTTTTCTTATTTAAATTCTAACGGATTTAAAATATTTATATCAAAATTAATAGCCAAATAATCTGCTTCACTAATCATTATTCGATCGAAAAGTGGACGATCCACCCCACCCATCCGTTCTCCAAAGCACTAAGCCTGTGACCTCGAATTTACGTTACTTGTATTGTCAACTTTGCTTCGAACATGCAGACAAGAGGCTACACGTGTGAACAAATTGATATGTTACGTGCAGGAGTTTCGCACCTGCCAACAGCACACCTCTCCATCTCCTGTGCATATATAAATTCCTGTGTGAAGAGATGGTGCCCTAACCCTTTTGATAAGAAAGGGAGCGCACCACCCTCGCCCTCGCCTCTTCTCCTTCCGCTTTCAGCAGTCACCAGGACAATCTCTCTCTCTCTCTCTCTCTCTCTCTAACTCTCTCTCTCATTGTTTTCTAAAACCCCAGTTTTCTTTCTCTAACCGTTCCTGAAAAACCCTAGTTTTCTCTCTGCGAGCATCACTGCTACTGTGTGCAGGTAGCCCTCTTGCTCGTTTATTTGCTTCTCTGAAGCTTTCGTATTCTCCTCCTCGCTAGAGTACCATTATTTGAGAGAATCAAGGTTTTGAGTTTTATGGTGGTTGCAGGAGAGGAGCTTTGCTAAGATGTCAGACGATGAAGCAAAGGAGGAGAGGGAGCTCGATCTCACTTCCCCTGATGTTGTCACTAAATACAAGACAGCTGCAGAGATCCTCAATAGTATGATGCTTCTCCTATTACTCTTAATTTTTGGCCATTTACTGATTTCCTTATTGCTTAAAACTTGTTATTAGAGGTTTACTTTTTCATTTCCATTTAAATGAGTACATATGGATGGATATCTTTTCACTGCAAAAGATTAGGATAATTGGTTTTCACTTTATTTGTATTTGTTTAAATTGGTATGTAAGTCTTCAATATCTCTCCTTGTTTGAACTAGCGATTCGTGTTTTGGGTTATTTTTCTAGCTTATTGTTGCTTTTGTATAATTTAACTTCATGTAATTTGAAAGATTCATATCATTGAAATTTGCAGTTTCAATGATATTTACTTAATATTTAAGTATCCAATCCAGTGTTGGACATTGTGGCTTATTTTATTGCATATTGTTGGTTCATTGTCTGATTTCAACTGCATTTTATCTCTAATTGATATGTCGTTGCAATATACATTCCATCCATATAGAAATTCTAATTTTGTTAATTCTTTCAAACCAGTGATAGACATTGATTACTTTTCAGATTGATTTTGATTTTGTTTAATTTCCAGTTTTCAATTGTGTATGGTCTTCACCAAAAGTCTTGACTTTTTGCATAGATTTGTTTATATGTAATGAGTCTGGTCACATTTATCAAGTTATGTATTCATGTTTGCTTAAAGCGGTATCTTACGTGTTGCATGGTATGCTTCTCTTGCTTTTGATTGCCTATGGTTGTTGTTGACTTCTAATGCTTTGTTCCGTTTGGTTTTTGTCACTGCAATGACACTTTGTAGAGGCTCTGCAATTGGTAGTCTCAGAATGTAAACCAAAGGCCAAGGTGGTAGACATTTGCGAGAAAGGAGATGCCTTCATCAGGGAGTAAGCCATCTTCCTCTCAAATGGGCTTCTCATTTGTTTTCAAAATGTTTACATATTTGAGTTACATTCTAGTATCTATTTGGAGGAAAGAGCTTTAGAAAGTGAGACCATACGCAGTTGATTTCTTGTTCGTGTCTTGTTTTGTGTATGGCATCATATGGATCAATTCAATGAGTGCATTTTTTAGGCCCTCGAACCATGTGTTCGTGACTTGTTATTGACTGTACACATTGCGGCTGATCACAGTTGTGTTATATAGGCAAACTGGGAGTGTTTACAAGAATGCGAAGAAGAAAATTGAGCGGGGTGTTGCTTTTCCAACATGCATATCAGTTAATAACACTGTCTGCCATTTCTCTCCCCTAGCAAGTGATGAGACCACTCTGGTGGAGAATGATATGGTGAAAATGTAAGTTTCTCCAGGAAATACTTCACTAGGTTTAATGCATGTTTATGGAATGCATGCTTCTTGCTCCCTGTGCACACATGAGTCAGTAGTTGCATTATTTGAGTGTGGACCCTACGTATGGGCACATGGATGGGCAGATATGCTCACTCGCATACATGTACATGTAAATAGAAGATATAGCATATATTTGTTGGCGATATTTAGGTTTGCTTGCATACACTCATACATGTTTATGTATTTGATATCATGCACATAATCATCGATCTTACGTATTGAACACATTGCACTGTCAACCTATCTATATTGATTCATGTTTTGTTTGTACAGAATGCATATATATATTTATGTTCATATATGTTTATGGATAGTCGACCCTAACAGTTGAGATAAGGCTTGGATGATGATGATGATATGTTTATGGGCATCTATGCATCTACATGCATTTACATGTACTATTGTGCATTTAAACACTTACATACTTTGTATTTATGCATGCATGTATTATGTAAGCATATCTATGTCAAATGTACCATACATGCATGTGTTGGAGTTTGTGTATGTGCCTATGTCAGTGTTTTAAATTTTGCCTAGTCTGACTCGCACTGGGCAGCCTGCCAATACTGTAGAAGTACTCGGCCATGTTGCTATGGTAACTTGGGCAAGTACCAGTCAGACTTGGGCGAGTTTACAAAACGTTGCTGGTTCCTTCTTACATTGTCTTAAAGCAGGCTGGGGGTTGGCGGACCACCCCCCCCCCCTGAGGTGGGGGGCACATGCGACTTCCTTCTTCCATTTTCTTAATCATTCTTGCTATAATGTCTCTCAAAATCTACTCTGTGTGTATTGTCTATTCTCAACAGGTTTGGCAAAAAAGTCGATTTTTTTTTTTTTTTTCTTTTCATTAGGACTCACCAAAGTATTTTCTTGCTTGTTTTCTTCAACCCTAGCTCAATCCACCCTAAAATTGTCCCTAATCATATTTGTGTTATTCATTGAGTTCAAAGCTTAGACTCCACAAAAAAACTGAGAATCTTGGATAGCGATAGTTTGATTATCCCAAGCACGTTGAAGCGACCCTCTGTACATATGTAAATGAATTTCTAGTCATTGTTATTTTGTATATATCTTTTCATAATTTTTAATGAATTTTCCTTTTTCCCTATTCATTTATCATGAATTTTACCAAATTACTGGAATTTTTTGAGCCACTATGGGGGACTAGGTCAGGACTCTTACGGGTACACCCTCGGGACTCGTGGAGCTGAATCACCTGAAGGCAGCCGCTGAGTCCTGGAGTGAGGCCTGGTTTTTGGACACTGGCCTATGCTATTGAGATAATATACTTATTTTTTCATCTTTGTGGCAGTTAAACCTTGGAATACGCACAGAAACACTTGCACTGTTGTCACCCATGTTTCTTTTTCCTACTGGTCTCATGTTGGATGCTTTTGTTGGAAGAATGTGCTTATATTCCTTCAAAATTAGTTATTATTAAATAAATAATAGTAAGTACTAGAAAATTTAATAAATACCTGCACTTTGTTAATCTTTATTTTCTTTGTATTTTTCACGCCCAAAGTTTTTATTCATATTAAGGCCTGATTGTCCCTTGAAATTATCAACGATTTCTCAATCCATTTGGCAGTGATATGGGGTGCCATATAGATGGCTTCATTGCTGTGGTAGCACATACTCATGTCCTCCAAGAAGGACCAGTCACTGGAAGGGCTGCTGATGTCATTGCAGCTGCTAACACTGCCGCTGAAGTTGCACTTAGACTTGTTCGGCCTGGGAGAAAGGTATGTTCCATTTACCAATTCAAATTATTTTTTATCATCCATGGGGCTTGGCATTCAAAGTGTGCGAAAATTAGACTAGCTTCATTAGTATCTTTTATTGTCAGTGCTACATACCACTATGCAGTGCTGCGACGGATCACACTAGATGGTTATTTGTATTTTCTCTATGTGCTTGTGTTTAATTACAAGGTTGCTGATACACATGTATTGGAATTTTGGCTTTAATGAAAGTATACATTGGTTCGTGGATGGATTGTTTGGTGAAAGAATACATCAGTCATGGATGGGTTCCTTGATAGTGCCGAATGTATGTCCTAATATTTAAACCCTACGATTTTCATTGAATCCATCTAATTCAAAGCTGATTTCATTGATGTACTCATGCCTTAAATGGATGCGAATCATAAGGAAATTGAAAAATCGAGGACATGATTGGTTCTTACCAAATTGTCTTGAGAATCATGACCATTGTTTCTTTTGGAATTGCAATTGAGCGATTGACATTAATTTCTCAAAAAGAAAATCTGAGCGATTCACATTGTAGGGTGTTGTGCTCTCAAAGGTTTAATCAATCTGTTAGAATGCAACAGACAAATACAGTTGCACACTGTTCAGGATAATGACCTAGAGCTTTATGTATGTCGTGGTTCACACTTGCTCTTCAATGAATTTCATTTTCTATGTCCACTTCCGTTGCATGTCATAGTAGTTGAGGACATATCCATTATCTCCTCGGGGTTTACCTTCTGTATCTCATTGGTATGGTTTTTCTCGTAAAGAGTAACATTAAAGGTGCATGAACATCGTCCTTATGAGTATTTGCTTTTCTGATCATTCTTTACTGTTTCTGAATGACGAGTATTTCCTGTAAGCTATGGAAGAAAGTCCAAGTGAAGCTTTATGTCATAGTTAATCTGACAGGTGATATTTATCTATTCAATATCTGCTTTTTACATCTCTTTGCTATCTTTCCGTCTCCTGGAAATTAATACCAAAAGCATATTATGTACCGTTTTGACTATTATGTTCATGGGTATTTGCTATATTGATATTGCTTTATTGTCTCTGAATGATGAGTATTTCTCTAAGCTATGGAAGAAATTCCAAGTGAGGCTTATGTCATAGTTACTCTGACAGGTGATATGTACCTATTCAATTTCTACTTGTTAGATTTTTTTTCTATCTTTCTCTCTTGCAAAATAATACCAAAAGCATATTATGTACGTTTTGACTATTATGTTTATGGGTATTTGGTATATTGATATTGCTTTGTTGTCTCTGAATGATGAGTATTTCTCTAATTTATGGAAGAAATTCCAAGTGAGGCTTACGTCATAGTTACTCTGACAGGCAATATGCATCTTGTATGCTTTTTTTTGTAGTAGGTTCCTCGGCTGAATCTTTTTATAATTCATTTATTTATTTTATTGTTTTGAAATCCCCAATGGCTTGTAGTTTCAGTCGTCCATTTTTTTTTTTTGAAATGCTGTTGATAAACTCCACTTTCAAGTACTGTTTTTTGAACCCTTTATTCATTAGTTAGTGGAAGAAATTCTCTGGATGATGAAGGATTGCCTGTAAGCGATGGAAGTAATTCCATGTGGAGCTAATGTCATAGTTACTCTGACATAGAATGTGCATCTCTTTTCTATTTTTTCTTTTGCTTTTGCTTTCAATTTCCGACTTCGTTAGTTGATAATGCAGGGGGTTGCTTTGTGGTATGCGATTCATGTTTCTTGCAGAATCCAACCTAGTTCCAATTCCTTCCAGAATTTTCTGGGCGCTTGGGTTTTAATAGTTATGTTAATTCTATAGCATGACTGTTGCCTTTTTTTAATTTTGCAAATTTTTCTGTGGGGGAACTAAATTGATCTAAGTTCCCCTTGAGTCACTACGGTTACCTACATTTACTTGCTTTTCAAAGGATTGTTGCGCTATGATTCAACATACATGAAATGAATCCAGATATTCAGAATTGTTTTGCTCTTCTGTTGTGAGATGTTCGTCTAGGCTCTCATATAAAATTTGAATACATATGGAAAATTTTTAGAATTCAAGTTATTTACTCAAACTTATTTATAATTGGGTATGGAGATATAGTTTACATGTATGTATATGTAGGGATGGAGGATGTTAGTTTTTTCCACAGTAGTAAACACTAACTGACATAGGTATGCCATTGAATATGGTGAAAGAGCAGTGAAGTTTATGCACTGTAGTTTTCACACAGATACATACATACATACATACATACATACATATATAATTATAATTATAACTATAAACAGGTATCCCTGATGAAGCAATGTTGGCATATTTAATGTCGTCGTCATGTTATATTGGCATGGACATTATAGTTGGAACTTATGCTTCTGTGTGTTATAAATGTCTGTGGTGAAGCATTGCGGCCATGTTTAAATGTCCTTGCCAACTATATTGACCTGGATATTGTAGTTGGGACTTGCTTCTGTGTGTTACATTGTCATGAGCATGTAGTTGGAAGTATTCAAGGAAGCACTTAAGTGGGGAAGTCTTTGTCTATGACCTGCTTTAGTTTTAGTGGAATGAGATTCTTTTCTGTCTCCATTTTCCATGCTCCTCTTGTCACTTTCTAATTCTTTTCCACTTCGAACATCTAATTTTTGTAGGGCAAGCTGTCTATGCTTCCCCTACAACTTAAAACATCTATACTTCCCCCTATCCAACCGTCCATTCTAAATGGATGTCTTAGATGGTCCCAATCACAATGTCACCCTCTATACCATTTTATTTTTAATTTTTTGTATACAAAACATTTTGACTCCAAATTTTGGCCGTCCAATCCTCTCTTGAACTTGCACCTATAAAAAAGTAGAAAAAAATATTCCCAATAAAAGAAATGATTGAAATGCCCCTGAAAATTTCCAGCGGTATTTTGGTCATTGTATTTTGTCAAAAATATTTTTTTTAATATTTTATGTAGGTGCGCCCCATTGAAGTGATGCCACAACCCAAATTTCATATTCATGTAGTTAGTACAAAAAGATTAAAAATAGAATACTCTGAAGCGTCGGATTTAGATTAAATGGTTAGTGGCTCACTTGATCTAAATTGGACGTTTGGATGAAGGGGGAAGTATATATATCTTTTATGCTATAGGGGTAGCATAGAAACCTTTCCCATTTTTGCAATCTAGACTTTGTGGTCATGGTTTAGATTTTTAGTATTCTCAGAAATTCACAATATTACTTCTTTTTGAGTTAAATATGGATAAAATGAATGAAAGAGAAGCCATTAACATGATTTGGGTTTGGATGAGAAGCAAAAGATAGATTTGAAGAAGTCTTCTTTGATTGGAATATGCCTTTTGTCGTTTTTCTTTTGAACTTTTGTTGGATATATGCTTTAGGAACTTGCTTCGTTGGTGCCCCTCATGCTTTTGGGTTTATTGTTAGGCACTCATCTCAGTCGGGAATCTGTAACTCCGAGTGAATGGGATTTTCTACTATAACGAAAAGATTGGATCTATAGAAAGCCCATGTTTGAATTCGAAGTAATATGAATGTTTTCATTTTTTATGTGGTGTTATTTTTGTAGAATGGTGTTAGTCTTTTTTCTTGTGTTTTGTGGTATTTTCCTTGGGAATCCCTTCCTTGTGATAGAGTGTAGCTATTGACACATTGCATTAGGATTAATCTAAAATGCCATGTGGTGTTGTACTCCCTCATAAATGCATCTTTATCTATTTGGGCATCCCATCCAGTCGAATCAGTATGTAATTTGAGATGTTAAATGGGGTAGGAATGGAACCAGTGTTTTAAAATGCGGGATGCGACCAAAAGCGTTGGGTGGGGGTGGGCGATGTGGTCCGGATGCGGGTGCATCGCCATGATGAGTTCAATAAATATAAAAAATTCTAAAAAATCTAAAAATTTATGTTAATGCATAGAAAAAATATGGAGGTGATATATATGATATTAGGTATTTAGTTTATTCATTAACTCCAAAAGTATCAGCTGTCGGAGATTCTGTATCCACTATCCCCTATTAGAAATTAGAAACTTGAAATTAGTTTCATAAAACATTTAACAATCAACTACCATAAGCACAAATATGTAATCACAAACTTTAAAGTTACAAAATACTACAAACTAAAAGTCCATGAAGATTAAAGAGTTTACAAGTCAAGCTCAAGAAGAGTCGCTACAATCATCATTTATGAAGTCTTGAAGAACTTCAACAAATAAAATGGAAGAACCAAGCATCAAATCAACACTCAAAAGATACAAATCAACAACCAAGCATCAACAAATGCACAAATTGCAGAACTTCAACAAATAAAATTTCCTCACCTTTTTTTTTTTGATTCAATCGATCCAATAGAAGCCATGGATGTGGTTGAAAAATGATGTTTGGGGGGTTTAACAACCCCCCAAACCCTTTCCTCCCATTTTCGAAGGTCAAAATGACCTTATTACCCCCTGCCAGAGGGGTTCAGTTTCTAAAAAAAGTGGCAGACAGATTATGCGGCCTGATGTGCTCGATGTGAGATGCGGTTTTGATGCAGGGCATATGCGGGCACATCTCTCTAAACCGCATATGCAGGCATGTGCGATCCGCTTGGCAGCACATAGCGGCTTGATGTGCTCGATGTGAGATGCGGCTTTGATGCGGTGCATATGCGGGCACATCTCTCCAAACCGCATATGCGAGCACATCACTCCAAATTGCATATGCGGGCATGTGCGATCCGTTATGCAGAGCACATAACACCTGATGTGACTGCATTTTGAAACACTGCATGGAACTATTAGTGTCATCTTGTAACCCCACCAGCCTGACCTCTTATGCCAAGGGCCTATTCCTACGGTTTAATGTGCTATTGATGCACTGAATAATTGGATGTGTTGCATTATAATGCTGTTCATGTGGAATACAACCAAATTGTTCATAACTACTACATTTCGTGTAGAAAGCATGATATTGTGACTGACTTTTGAAAAATGAAGTATTATATTTTGATTGATTTTTGTGAAGTGGACTATTCTCTCACAAGCTGTCTAGACTTGTAGTCTGTAGGCTGAACAACTGGATTCATCATCCTTACTTGACATTGAACTCTTTAAGGTATTATGACCTCTTTTATTGTTTGTGAGGTGTGCAACTTCTTTGGAATCTTTAGCATACTTTTGATGGCTTCATATGTTTCTATTAGGATATCAACACTTCAAGTGGTGTAATTGGTGATTCTTCCAAGATCATTCATCTTTGATCTTGCTTGGTATTCCATGCTTGAACTCCTTCATAGCTTCGCTGTTATGAGCTTTGATCAAACCATAATCAACATATTCAAGTGGCACTCGACTTTATTTGTATATGATGTAAAGTGCTCCTTCCCACTTTTTTGAATATTTAGAAATTTTCAACATACCTCTTTGGCCTTAAGATATGGGGCGTATGGCCTCATTAAGGATTACATCGTTGTCAGAGCCTTTTCCCAACTAATTGGGGTCGCTACACGAATCCTGGTCCACTACACTGCTATATTAAGGGCCGTACCCTCAGTGAGGCTATAAGTCCGCATATCATTTCTCACTACTTCCAATTATATTTTGGGCCCACTAAACCAACTTGCATCTCATAACAAGTGATGTACTGGGTTTGCGCAGCACATGGCCAGCCCACCTAAGTCTACTTTTTCTCATCTTATTACCTATCGGTGCCACACCTATATTCTCATGAATGTATTCATTTCCAATTCTGTCCTTTCTTGTCTTGCCACTTATCTATCTCAACATCCTCATCTTAGCTACACTCATTTTATGGGTATATTGTTTCTTGTCTGTCTAACATTCTGCACCATAAAGCAAAGCCGGTCTCACAGTTGTCCTACAGAATTTCCTCTTCAGTTTCATTAGTATGTGACGATCACATAAAACTCCGATTTCACATCTCCACTTCACCCACCTGGCTTTAATTCTGTGTGACACTTTCCTCAATCTCTCCATTTTCCTAGATTATCAATCTAAGATACTGAAAGTGTGCTCTTTCTGGTATTTCTTCAACCCAAGATATTGAAAGTGCACTCTTTTTGGTATTTCTTGGCCGTCAATTCTAACTACTTCATCGTCTGTACTCCTATTATTACTAACTTGCATTCCATATACTGTGTTTTAGATTGGTAATTTTAAAACGTTTAGATTCTAGTGCCCTCTAAAGTTCTAACTTTGTGTTTATTATCACCTTTTCATGTTCCCAGTTTACTGTATAAAATATTATATGCCTCAAGTCTAGCCTTACAATTTTTTTAGCGTTCTTCGTATTTTTATATTCTTCCAAGTTTTGATCATTTCTATTAGATTGCCAAGTTTTATAACATGATCATTTTTTTGTTTATGGTCTCATTGAAGATATGTTCCTTAATAGAGTGGCGGACCATGATTCGGTGTAGTCGACTCCTATTAGTTGGGAGAAGGCTCTGATGATGTTGATGGTGCTCTTCGACCTTAAGCAGTTTTAAGATTTATTGAGTTTGGGTTGTCATATAAAGTTCTACTGGTTAGGATGCAACCATATGTCTTCACATCCATCTGAAATGTATTCCTAATACTCGATGGATACTGTGGCTTTCTAAGCTAACCTCTATGGTGATCATGGCAACTGGTAATGACTGCTTCCTAATATGCATACCAATCTTCCAGGTAGTGTCTTTCTCCCATGAGATGTGTCATGTGTGATTAATTGTACCGTCATACTTCACTTTGTGAGTGTGCTTGTTCCAACATCAAATATGCTTGCCAAGTCGGAGAGGGACCGGATCTGATCTGGGAAAAGTAGATTATCTTAGGTCATCTCTTCTTGAATTGCACCCTCCGACATTGAGACTGTATATTAGACTTATGAGGCATGAACACAAGAGGCTGTGAAGGAAGATGAGAAGCATGAGACTATCTACATGCCTGCTGTATAGGATGCTCAACTTCTCCTTTGCTGGTTCATCATGGGAGATGACTGCAGGATGATCCTTTTATCATATTTGGAATGTTTGGAGCAGTTTTTTTTTCATGCCAAGGGAAAGCATGTTATTATATGTGCTGAAGTAGTATATTAGAGTTAAGACTTGGGAATTGGAATATAGTTAGACATATCTAGAAGTGATAAGCTTAGAAATGATAAGCTCAGACCCAATTCCTGTATATATTTGAACGGGGATCGTAAATCGTAATTAACTTTGGATTCAAGTTATTATGCTCATAGGGTGGTAGAAACACAAGCTGTAACTCCTTAATCTTGTGATTCTGAAACACTTGACTATTGGTTTTCACTGTAGATTTTTTTTTATTAGCAAAATATTTTGAAATTGTTGACTTGTCTTGGCTGTTGTCGTTTGGAAATGGGCACTTATATCGAGTGAATTGGTGCATCTGAGGCTTCTATAGTTTCTAGATAGTGTTACCACACTGAGAAAAGTTTGAGATCTGGCAGTGTTGAGCTTAATCACCGGCAGTTTCAGTTTGGTTTCATTTATTATCTGACTAATGTTTTGTGAAGTACATTTCAAACTTGGAATGTGTTTGATGGTTGATCCTATTGGGTCAGCTCTTGCAGTTCTGCACTCAGTCTCTCAGAGTCTTTGTTCAGATATTTTTTCTGTTGTTGTGTAATACATATATAATATATGTTCTCCTCAGTGCAAAATATGAATTCTGTTTGCCATACCTGCTTTTAGTCGGCGACTTGCTAACAGTGACATTATGCATTCCGTGTGAGCTTATGAAGTGTTATGGACTTGGTTTTGCAGAACAAGGATGTGACGGAGGCCATCCAAAAGGTCGCTGCTGCCTATGATTGCAAGATTGTTGAGGGTGTGCTTAGCCATCAGCTAAAACAATTTGTGATTGATGGAAACAAAGTTATCCTTAATGTAAGTAATCCGGAGACTAGAGTTGACGATGCTGAGTTTGAAGAGAATGAAGTTTATGCTATTGATATTGTCACAAGTACGGGTGATGGGAAGGTAAGGAATCCAAACACTTTGTCATTCTGAAATCCACTGCTAACGAAAAGTAGCAAGAAATAACAATCAAAACTATATAATCTAGACCTCGTCAATAAAGGGTGAAACTATAGTACTCACACTTCATCAAGATAAAAATAAAATAAATGAAATATGACTACAGTCACAAGATGTATATGGAGTACAATTCACTGTCGGCATCTCTATTGCTCATCCGGAATATGTGAGTGTTGGAGATTAACCATAGTCATGAGATAACAGAATTTCAAATGGACTATTGGAGCCATGGTTCATTGAAACCATCCATCTCTACTCCTCAGAATGGATAGTTTTTGCCTATTATTGCACACAAGCTACATTTGGTTTATGCTATTCTTCTCCATAGCAAGACCTTAAAGCCCATCCTTAACTTATTTTCTCTTTTGGTTAAGGGGCATACCTTTCGTATTAGCCTGGTAGATGCTGCTAAGATTTTTTATCTCCTTTGTTTCCTTTGTTACTATTTAGCCAAATGAATTTCAACTAAAGCCTAATTTTGTTTTTCTGTCATTGTTAGTGTCTGGAAGAAGATTTTGTTATGCTCCTCTGAAGGATTGTTTGTTGTCTTTCTGTTAATGATTTTTATTATCTCAGCCCAAGCTACTGGATGAGAAGCAGACCACCATTTATAAGAGAGCTGTTGACAAAAACTACCACCTGAAAATGAAATCTTCAAGGTTTATTTTCAGTGAAATTAATCAAAGATTCCCAATCATGCCTTTTACTGCAAGGTATTCTTGCTATTTCCCTGGATTCCCGTTCTTATCCACGTTATGTTTTGGTACGAGCAAATTGGTTTTCATGTTTTTGATCTATTGGTTATATTATTGCTTTCATGTTTGTTTAGGGTGTTGGAAGAGAAGCGTGCTAGGCTAGGATTGGTGGAATGTGTTAATCATGAACTTCTGCAACCATATCCTGTCCTTCATGAGAAGCCTGGTGAGCATACTACTACCTTTCAATGCTGATTGTTTTCTTTTAGAGGAAGCATATACTATACAACTGATGCACTAGGATATCCATCATATGTTCCACATGATGGATGGTGAAGATTAATTGTACTTGGGTGAATGTCTTAACATTGGGAACTATTGGTAATCTACTGCATTTGTCAGAAGTGGACAGTGGATATCCATGTGGTGTGCGGTATACCATACCTCAATGGTGTATGATATACTAAAGATTCCATTAAGGGTTAAAATTTCAACTCTTAGTATGTCCTTCCTTGCAAATAATGTTCTGGTGTGGCTTAACATGTGGATACTCCTGAACTGACTGGATTACTTGCTTATATGAAACAACTGAAATCATGTTTACATTTGGTTCACTATTTAAATTGATTGAAAATCTCAAATCTGTTTTTAGTTTTCTGATATTTATATTGTGTTCTTTGCTGAACAAACAAAGTTGTAAAATCATGGGTTACTTTCACTCAATCGTTTGTTAGTTCGTGGGAGGTCAGGCACNCAGGGGGTATAGGG